AATAGGTCGGTAGTTAGACATATCTTCTTTATTTTTCTTTTTATAAAGTGGTTTTACTATAACTGTTTTCAGCTTTTCAGGAAATATTCCCACTAATATGCTTACATTAACAATATGGCTAAGAGGTCCAGATACTCGTATGATATTGCAAACAGATTTAATAACTTGCGTTGAAATGCCATCATAACCCAAAACTTTTTTTATTTTTTAAAGTTTTTATTACTCGTATTATATCTTGTGGTACAATCGGTGATATCAATATCGAGTGTGGGTTACGTATACGTTTTTTGGTATATCTGTGATCTGGTCAATAAAAAAAAAATTGTTGAATGATTCAGCTATTTCTTTAGGGTTCGTTATTATTAAATCATCTTTTTTTACTTGAGAAATAGGTTCCGTAATTGTTTTTCCATTATTTATTATTTTCCACGATGTCTTGGATTTATTTCTGGAGTTTTGAATGAGATTGTTATTTTGAGATTTCTGAGTCAGTTTAATAACTTTTTTTGAATCTTCGAGAATATGTACAAAAATTATTTTTATTTTCACATGTCGGTTTTAAATCTCTTTTGCCACAATGAATGGCGCTGCCTTTTGTTACAAATCCGAATACCACGTGACACCCATTTAATTGATTTTTCAGAGCGTACTATAATCGACTTGAATGGAAAACATAAATTATATAATAAAAGGAATAAGTCGATAAAATTATCATAGGCATTATCAGGGTCATCAGTATTGTAAACGTCTGAAAATGATAATTGTTGGAGATATTTATTGAACTTATTTATATTATCGTTGGACTTATCTCTTATTGTTTTTCGCCAAGATTTTATTTGTCTTAATTTATTAGCTTTTATTTTTAGAATCTGAGCTGTATGGTCTGATAAGGCTAAGTCTATTATTTGGCATTTGCACTTTTATTTCAAGTTATGAGCAAAATTGTCTAAGCAGGTATTGCTGTTCAATCTTGTAGGTTGGTTAATTTCCAATTTAAGGTTGTAGCTCAAAAGAAAGCATTCAAATTCTGTTGCTAATCTGTTCCTTTTCAAAATGTCTATATTAAAATCACCACATATTATTATATTACTTTTTTGTTATTACATAATTTCTTTAAAATAGAGTCTAAATTTTCGTAAAATTTGTCTATATTACATATTTTTGGAGGTCTATAAATACATAAAATTATCGTGTTTTGTTTTATTAATTTTATAGCACAACATTCAATAATCCCTGTTATAGAGTATTTCATGATGTCTGGTAATTCTGTGTACTCAAGGCATTTTTTTATCAAGATGCAGGCTCCTCTTCTTTTTACATTTCTTCTTGAATAGCATGTTGCTAGCTTGTAATTGGATATTTGAATAAATTTTTCATGGTCAGACCTTATGAAATGCTCGGTAATACACAATACATCTATATCTACATGTTTGTTTAATAATTCCTGATTATGCACAGTTAATACATCGGATTTATTTAGAAAGCCAGCAATATTTTGGTGCATGATATACATATGATTACAATAGAAAAAAAAATTGAATTTAATTGTGTGGGGATAGTTTCGAATTAATTTTAGTCTCTGGATATATTTCTTGACCTAAGTTGGGTTACTTATCATTATTAGTAGGTTACGCATGATATTCATGATAGATAGATAGATAGATAAAACGTTTATTTTTATCTCCAATCACACACGTAAATTCAGTGATTAACTATATATACAATCAAAGTATTATGGAAAAAAATACATAAACTTATGATCTAAAAATACATGTGTGTTGCAGTTAAACAAATGGGTCATAGCTCAGCGATTAATATTGCTCAGAGAGCAAACACTGATTTTCAGCTATTACCCTCGAGGTGGCGAGAAGAAAATGAGCACAATTTCAGAAAGAAATAAGGAAAAAAACTATTTTTTTTGCACGTTAATATTATTGTGGTGTAATTATGTCTGAAAGATGTAATCATCAATCCATAGTTATTTAATCTTCCACTATATTTAGATTAGACATACTATAATCGTAGGATAGATTAAGATTAGAATGTAATAGCTTTGCGTAGTTAAACGTGTTGAGATCTAGGTACATCAAATTATTAAAAGTTTCTATCCTCCAATTAAACATAGCGGAATAATTGTTACATTTGTATGTTGGAAGGCACAGGATAATATTAGTATGCTGAATATTTTGTAGAGTATTCCTCATTTCTTTGATGATATCAAAGTAATTATTTGTTTTTCGAAAGTCTTCTTCTCCTATAAAAATTACGCTGTTGTCGTTTTTCGTATAGTTTACTATTTTTTTATTCAAATTGCTAATTAGATGTAAAATTCCACAATTCGGGGAAATGTAGTGGCATATCTCGGTATTCAAAAACGTATCCTCAGCAATAGATAATACTAGGTTACTAATAGGTTTTAATTTGATGCTTATTGAGTCGCTTAATTGGACTGTATTATCCTGTCGTGTGATCGTAATTAATCCATTTGTACACACTATTACAATGTCACTTAACATTTTTGAGTTCCTGGTTCACTAATAAACTTATTAGAACGCTTAATTACTAATAACTATTTTTAAAATGAAATTTAATACGGAGCTATTGTTGTTCGCGGCGATCCGCGGGTACCCTCTCAAGGAAACAAGTTATTTATCAATGAAAGCGAAGAATACTAAAATGATTTATTATTAACTTACTTTTGCCCGCAGTTCTGTCAGCGTGAGAAAAAAACAATTTCGTGCTCATTTTCCCGCGGTTTTTTCTCATAAACGAACTCGCAAAATTCCGTAGTAAAATTATACTATATGTCTTGTGATAAAACACTCAGGATATTTTCTTGATTAATATTTACATTAATCATCAATCACATCTGTTTAACAGTTTTGTAATATAGTTGTATAATTGATAAAGTAACAAACATTCAATAAAATACAAATATGCGCGGTTTCGACTCAGCGATGATGAATCAGTCCATTAGAACCTGTAGTTAGTTAGTTGCAAGAGTAACAAGTATGTGGTACGTGGATCCTAGAATCTCAGACGGAGGCCTGCATTAGAGAACTTCCAATAGCCCTATATGCACCTCAGTCAATTTCAGCGCCCCTTCTATGAAGTTAAAAATTCCTAAGCACTAAACAGCCCCAGCAGAAGAGATAAGAATTAAACAGAACAATTACAATGTTTATTATTGTTAAAATAAATGAGATTTTTTTATTTGAAAATTATAATATATTATTTAAGATTATAATTATTTGTAAGGGTGTCTTCAGATGCACCGCTACAATTCAAAGAATGGTTCTTCAGTAAAAAATACATTTACACATTTACATTAACAGCAGTACATAGAGTTCACCTTTTATGTATTTTTCAATACTTGTAAAAATAAATCTCGCTCTTACTTAATTAACATACAATATCTTTAGTTACAAGAATAATATTTCCTTACTGGCTTACCATAAATAAGAAAAAAGTATTACGGAGACATATGAAGTTCATGCCTTGCCCTAAAACACTCTCAAAAATGAGAAGATTCCTGTTCCCAGCTATGGAACGTATATAGGCTCTAAATTTACTTTTAACTAAAAGCCAAAATGATGATTTTATTGTTTCGTATTGCATTATCTAAAAATTATTATTATAACTAGCTGTTACTCGCGGCTTCGCCCGTATGGTCACTGGGAAATGAACTATCCATTGCTTTTTGAATTGAAAGAAAACTGAGTTTTATAGATTTGTCAGAGATGCAGCCATTAAAAAGGAAACTGAGAAAAATTGATTCGTCAGCCTATTTAAATTTTTTGAAACGCAGCGTATAGGAAAGCATGAAAATAGCCTGCTTATTCCAAATGGAAATGGGATATTTTTTTTAATTAAAGGAAACTGAGCATAATTATCCGTCAGGGATGCAGACTTTTGAAAAGAAACTGAGCCAAATTGATTCGTCAGAGATGCAGTTTTCTGAATTGAAAGGAAACTGAGCCAAATAAAAGATCCATCAGAGATGCAGCCTTTTGAGTTGAAAGGAATCTGAGCTTAATTGGTCCGTCAGAGGTGCAGCATTTGGAATTGAAAAGAAACTGAGTTAAATAGGAAATTTTGAATTGAAAGGGAAGATCGGTGGGAATTCTGATTAATTGATTGTGGGAATTTTGAAAAAAAAAACTAACTTAACACTATTTTAAGACGCACACAATGTTTTCCCATTCAGGGAAAGAATGTGGAGATTCTGGGCATTTGACACACGCGATCATGCTACATACAGCTGACCAAGAGAGAAGCACGATTTTTCTAAGTTGACCCCCGCTACCTGTAACGTTTGCCCTTACGCTTTATTAATTGTCATTGCAAAACTGAGCTTAATAGGGAACTGCAACCTTTTGAATTGAAAAGGAAGATCTGTGGGAATTATAGGGATCCGTGGTATAATAACATTTTCACCTTTTCCTACGCCTGCAAAAATTGTAGCACCGATTATGTTCTGTCCAAGATGTGTCACACGCAGCCTTGTCCCGTTACATAACCGAGGAGCATCTAAATTTCACTTAAGCATGACTGGGACGCCTAATTTTAATTGAAGCTTATGTGAGGGCACACCTGACAACTCTAGAGAATTTAGAAACTCTACGGGATATGAAGTGCTCTGTTCTATGTCAACGTCGCGAAACGATGTTTTATGTCAACGTCAGCCGAGTAACATTCACGTTAAATCGTTTCCCCAATTTTAATTTTTAAAGGCCTAATAATTGTTTTTTGGTATTCAATTTTGCTTCATTTAAACATATTAGTAACTATTGAGTGTTTTGTCGCTATTTTTATGACTTGATTAAAGTGATAATAGTGTTTTTTTATGAAATCAGTGTTGTGGATTGAGAGCTTTTATTGATGTGCACTTTGTGAACGTGGATGAATATTATTTGTACGAGGGCCTTTATTACGGAGCCATTCTGATTATAATATAATATTATATTTTTTTTATTAACTTCCTTTTTTGAATAAAAATTATGGCTAAAACTTTGAATACGGTATGGGGTTGTTGTACACTACAAGAAGGATACGATGATGATATCAAATATACTAAGTGTTTGAAGGCGTACCACTTAGCTTGTGTTTCTGTTAAAGCCTTGGAAATAAACTTAAAATGGATCTGCCCAAATTGTGCCAGTACTATTCCAAAACGTGGCACTATTGATAATACTCCGGTACGTTTTAACCCCAATGTTACCGTCCGTTCCTATAAAAGACAAGCGCTATTATCGCCACCGAACAACAATGAAGCACATCCTCTTACCCATGATGACGTACGTGCAATTATGAACGATGTCTTAAAATCTCACATGGCAGACTTTACAAAAGAAATAAACCGCAGTTTACGAGGAATGTTGGATGCTGAAATGAAGACTATTAAGGGTGATTTTAAGGAAATCAAGAAGTCTATGGAGTTTATAAACGGAACGTTTGAAATGCTTCAAATTGACCATAAAGCAAACCAAGAAAATATAAAAAGTTAGAGCAGAAAAACGAGCTAATGCAGTCAACCATCAATAGTCTTCAATCGCGCGTGAATCGATTGGAACAAAATTCTCGCGCCAATAATATTGAGATACAATGTATGCCCGAAATCTGAGAATTTAGTGACATTGTTATAAAAGTTGGGTAGCGTCATTGATTGTAAAGTAGCAGACGAACATATAGCTCGTGTTACAAGAATAGCCAAGCTGCAACAAGATAGTTTGCGTCCCCCGATCGATAGTTGTGGAATTCAAAGACTTAAAACTACGTGGTGCTTTGAAATAATACTAGTTTTTACGGAATTTATCGCGTATATTTAACTTTTTAATACCCGACGTTTCGAGCGCTTTACAGCACCCATGGTCACGGGCGGGACTGAGATGTTCAACGTCCATATGTCATAGTTAACCGCGGTAACCATAGATTAAAATTTAACTTTTGTTCCGATCTATACAGTATGAACTTATGGTATCTTGAAGTCTTGCAGTTGTATGCTTGGGTTGGGATTTAATTTTATTTATTATAGGATTCCAAGCAGATGGTAGCACCCAGCCATCTTCTCTATTGAAATTAGGATGTTTTTTGATTTCAATAGCCTCGCGAATCATCCTTGGAAGGAATCGGTGTTCTTTAGCGAGAATTTGCGGTCTATCAAATCTGATGTAGTGACGGGGGCGATCCTGTACGTGTTCACAGACTGCAGACTTCCCGGAGCGTCGATTCTTCACATCAGCTATATGTTCTTTAACGCGGGTTTTTATTGATCTTTTAGTTTGTCCTGTGTAGGAGAGACCACATTCACAATCAAGCTTGTACACTCCTGCATCTTGCAGAGGGACATTACACTTGACTGATGGTAAAAACTGACCAATCTTCTTCAGCGGCTTTAAGTATGTTTTGATGGAAGCGCGCTTCAAGATGTAGCCAATTTTGTCAGTGACTCCTCTAACATATGGCAGTACAGCAGGTACACGCTCGACTGTGGCCGGCTTCACTCGTTCACTGTGACGTAGGCGCGGGACTCGAAGCTTGTTGTCATGCAAAACTTGCTTGACATGGTGGAGCTCGGCAGCTAGGTGTTTACTGTCACAGATCCCTCGTGCTCTCTGAAACAAAGATTTACCCACGGTAGCTAACTGTGAAGGATGGTGGTGAGAATCACCGTTTAAATATCTATTTGTATGGGTCTTTTTTCTATACACTAGTAGAATTGTGAAAACTCTTTCACAATTCTACCTTTAGAGAAAAAATGAAGATACGGGCTATATCATTGTCAAAGATATGCAAACATTAGCTGCCATACGATAGGTTTATTTATTTTTGGTTTTCGTTTGTACTTTAAGCATGCATATATAGTTTTAATTTATAAAATTCACTTTACAAATGTACTATCAAAACACTAGAGGGCTAAGAACTAAAACTAATATATTTTTAAAAATTTGTCAGTGTGCAATTTTGATATTATTGTGTTAACTGAAACTTGGCTATGTAGCAATATATTGAATACTGAATTATTTGATGACCGATACATTGTGTTTCGAAGAGACAGAAAGTCTACTGGTTTGTTTTCCGAGGGAATAGGAGGGGGTGTACTGATCGCAGTGTAAAAAAGATTCAAGCCAAGGAAGTCACTTGTTGGAACAGCTCATGTGAGGATTTGTGGGTAATGTGAAATATATAATATGCTGGTACAATAAAACAAATTGCTTTTTGTGCTGTATACCTTCCTCCACCAGTTACCCATCGCTTATTGGATAGTTTTGTAGATTACTGTAGTTCAATATTGGAGAAATTTGAAGGTCATGTTTGTATTATTGGTGACTTCAATCTACGCAATATTAATTGGAAACTGGTATACGATGCCAATGTAAAATATCAGGCACCTGTGCTTGGTCAAAAATTGATTGACTTCGCCTCTCAACATAATTTGAGACAGTGTAATACAATCGCAAATCAACATAATAAAACGTTAGATCTGCTATTCACCGACATGGTTAATTGCAAAGTGTATGACTCGTTAGATGTTCTTAGTAAAACGGATCCTTATCACCCACCACTACATGTTGATATACATTATGAAAACGTTTGTCAACTGCAATATAATACAGATTTCACTAAACTTAATTTCGAAAGAGCTAATTATTCTTCCATCAATGATTATCTTTCCAAAATTAACTGGGTAGCAGAATTTTCTCAGTACAAAGATTTAAATCAAATAGTTGAACATTTTTATGTCTTGATCAGACATATTATATCGAAATTTGTGCCCCAAAAAAGAATAGTAAACCACGGTAAGTTTCTATACGGTTCCGCCATGGTTCAGTAACAGTTTAATCCGCAGACTTCGCGGAAAGAACAAGATTCTAAAAAGATACAAAAAGTATAGAAATCCTTTAGATGAGATTGAGTTGAATATTTTGTCTAAAAGGTGTCAAAAACTTGGTACTACCTGTTACAATGCATACCTAAATAACATTGAGGATAGAATATCTAGAAATACAAAAGCATTCTGGTTTTTTGTTAAAAGTAAACGTAGTGGCAGAGAGTGGTAGAGCATATGGCAAGCGCTATCACACCAAGGTATTCCAGAAACTTACATAAATATAATCAAAGATATATACAAGAATAGTACAAGTAGGGTGAAGTTGGACAGACTAGGACCAAAAATTTTCATTAAAAGAGGAGTGAAACAAGGAGATCCGTTGTCTCCAAAGATATTTATAGCCGTGTTACAGAACATTATGAAAGAGCTAAATTGGAGTAGAAAATGAATTAAAATAGATACAGAGTTCCTAAGTAACCTAAGATTTGCAGATGATATCGTCATATTTGCAAAAACATCGAAGGTGCTGGAAACAATGATGGTAGAACTAAATAACGCCAGCAAAAAAAATAGACTTACAATTGAATACGTTAAAAACAAAAGTTACTACAAACAGTATACAAAGACCAATAATAGTAAACGAAACAGCGATAGAGTATGTGGACAGCTATGTATATCTTGGGAAACAAATTTCATTCAAGAAGTCAAGACACGAAGACGAATTAGAGCGCCGTATCAACATGACATGGAGGAAATACTGGAGCTTCAAAGAAATCTTAAAAGCAAAACTCCCACTAAAACTCAAAAAAAAGGTAATAGACTCTTGTTTGCTGCCTTGTCTGTCATATGGAGCACAAACTTGGATTTTTCAAAAGAAAATAAAAAATAAAATACGATCGTGCCAGCGCGCTATGGAACGAAGTATCCTAGGCATTAAGCTCCTTGACAAACGTAAGAGCGAGGATATTCGCAGGAAAACTAAATTGATAGACGCAGGACAACACGCACAACAGCTTAAGTGGAGTTGGGCGGGACACATAGCCCGGGTTACAGACGGAAGATGGACGAAACGAGTCACCGAATGGACGGGCCCAAGCAGAACAAGGAGTAAAGGGAGACCTAAGGATCGCTGGATCGATGAAATCCAAAGAATAGCTGGTAGAGATTGGATGTTGAAGGCGCAAAATAGGATCAAATGGAAACAGTTGGAGGAGGCCTATACCCGGAGCGGGGCCATGTCTTAAACAATAACAATTTGGATTTTTTTTTTCTTGTATGAATGTAAATTGCATGGTAATATAAAGGCTTATAAACGTAGTGGCTGTAGTTCATACCAACCAGTATGACGAATGGAGATATTATTGCAAATGATGGGCCGAGCATTTGTAATCTTTTTTGCTAGTCACTTTTCCGAAGTTTATACCAAAGCCACATTGTCACCAACTCATAACTCATCAGTTCTCGAAGGTACTGCTAATAGTAGTTCATCATTCGGTGGTCTCTATTTTCATCAAGAAGCAGTGGTTCGTGCTTTGAAGTCCCTGGATGTAGATAAAGGCGCTGGACCCGACGGTATTCCACCCTGTTTCCTGAGAAATTGTGCCTTAAGTATTGCTGTACCTCTCTGCTTTATATACAATACATCTTTAGCAAAGGGCATATTTCCCAGGGAATGGAAAATCGCAAAGGTGGTTCCAGTTTTTAAGTCTGGTGATAGTGATTTGATTATAAATTATAGACCGATTTCAATCCTTTCCTCAATGTCTAAGGTCTTCGAAATTTTGATCTGTCCATATATTTCCGCTTATGTGAAACCATTTATCACGGTCCATCAACACGGTTTTTTGAAATCTAGATCAACTGCCACAAATTTGGTTTTCTTTGTTGAGACTCTAACGCAAGCCATTGAACTAGCAAAGCCTTTGATAAGGTGCCGCACGATGTATTGATTAAGAAGTTGTCAATTTATGGTATTAATGGAACCTTGTTAAACTGGTTTGATTCATATCTGAATAAGCGCAAATTCTTTATAGTGGTAAATGGTTTTAATTCTAAGGAATATGACATAGATTCGCGAGTACCACAGGGTTCAAACCTAGGTCCTATTTTGTTTAAAATGTTTGTTAATGACGTTGTTGATTGCATCTTGTATTCTACTCCGTAGTTTTACGCCGATGACTGGAAGTTACTACGATTAAAAAAAATGACACAGGATTCCATATTATTACAAGAGGATATAAATAGTCTAAGTTGTTGGTGTGAACGGAATGGCATGCAAATAAATGTGGGCAGATGTGTTTATGTCAAATTTACCCAAAAACAGAAAACGTTAGACTCTGCTTATTTTATTAATGGTATAAAATTACAGGAAGCTGACCATATAAGAGATCTTAGTGTGATAGTTGACTGAAAGTTAACCTTTGCTGCCCACTTAGAGAGTATTATAAAAAGAGCTTCAAACATGCTTGGATTTATTATTAGAATGGGCAAACAGTTTCTGAAGTTGCAAGCAAAAAGGCTCCTATACAACTCTTTTGTCCTGAGTATTCTGGAATACTGCAGTGTAGTATGGCGACCACACTATGCATGTCACTCTTTAAGGTTGTAACAGATTCAGAAGAGATATCTTTGGCACCTACTGTTTTTTAAAAACAGATTGAAACACTTTAAGTACAC